AACTGAAATGGAATATAAATTTAGAAACAAACACATTTTGGTTATGTTCATATTTTCGTGTATAGATAAGGGTAAAATAAAGGGTACGTGAGGGAACAATGTACTGATCGCTGTTTCTTATTTCCGTTGCACCTATTTATGTAAGACAATACCAATGTTAAGGAATTCAAAGTATTTTTGGTATCTGCCCTTTTCAAAGTTAACCTTTTAACGAACTTTTCTTTTATGACCTTATGAACAATAATGAAAATTAAAGCATTGTTATATAAAAGACCTTCACAAAATATTACAATTTTAGATTATTAATAAAGAAATGTAACTATAAGGTATTATAGACAGAATTTAAAACAATTTATACATACTAAAATTTTAGCAAATTAGTAGGTAATAGTATGCATTGGGAACTCTATATTAGAATACAAGGGCGCATTTGAAAGTGACTTGAGAAAAAATGTCATGGAAAACCCTTGTAAATAAAGTGTCAATTAAAAAAATCAACTTACTCGTATTATCATATTAGATACGTTTAACAGTTAAAATGAAATAGACTATTATATATACATACGTATGATATCCATAGGCATGATGAGTTGTTGTGGGTTGTATTATAACGTGTTTTCTCGTGAAAATAATATATTATCTCTCCCGCACTCCAACTATGCATAACCACACAAAAGATCACGCCAATCCGTCACTCTGTTTTGACATGAAAGAAGGACAGACAAACAAACAACCAAACAAACAAATTTTTATTTAAAAATCGATTGAAATAAAACAAATACTAAACGTTAAGTGGAGTTCACCACAATACATTAGTGACAAACGCACCGAAATCGGTTAAGCTTTTTCTGAGATTAGCGTGCACAAACGCACAGACAAACAGTAAAAAATTATAAAAATCATTATTTTGGGTTCATTCCCCAATAATAGTTTTTCTCAAATATCTTCCATGTATAGACAGCGATTAATTACTCTTTTATTATATGTATAGATATAGATGTATATAGTTTCTTCGAGAAAGTTTTATTTTTTTTACGTAGGTTTACTACAGTCAAAGTAATTTTTATTACAACTCAAGCTAAGATGTATACAATGGTTGTGGAATGGTAAAAATTAACATCAAAAGAAAATATCATTCTTCATAAAGACCTTTGATCAAAAGCTTTCACATTGAATATATTTGAGCTTCAATAAAAATATGACGATTGAAGTATGAATGGAACACCCATAAATTAATTCCCATGTAATAGCCAATTAGAGTGTTAAAGATTCAGATTAGGGATTTTATTGGTCCAAAAATATTTCGCACTTTATACCAAAACAGCCTATTCACAGCTTCTTCACTACTCAAAAATATGTATTTATATACGTGCACCTTAAATATATTGATTGAACGGTTAGTATAGATTTCTCAGAGATAAAATATTTTCCCGCAGTGAAAAGTATCCTAAATTTTGACCCGGATAACCAGTTATCATCATACCAAATTTCATCAAAATATGTCCAGTGGGTTCCTCGTGATTCGTTGTCAGGCAGAAGACACAAAAATTCTAAAAACTATAGATTCGGCCTCTGTATCGATATTATAATGACTGTTTCAATAAGATTTTAGACAAAATATTTAATGTACAGATTCGATTCAGTTAGAATTTTATTATATGTATAGATTAAGACTATTGAGTGTTTAAATAAGAACAATAGATATTAAACTCTTTTCAATTTGTATACATAGCGTCCACAAAAACAACATTTCTGTTTTTTAGTATATACGAAAATTATTTTGAAATATAACTGTTAGTGCTGTGGCTAAAATAAATATGTGGATACGCAAATATTTAAAATTTACGTAAGTTAAAACTAAATTTAATTTAGTGCACTCATCCCTTGGTACATAAGTTGTGTTCACACTTGTTATTTTCTAGTATTTTTAGTACTAGATTAAGTAAAAAATCCTCTAGGCAATCAAGTATACAAAAATCACCAAAGACACTGAAAAAATGTCGAAAATGACGAAGCTGTTTTCATATAGTTTATACTAATTCCGGCTTTTAGCGTCAACATAAAATATATAACGTACATTTTCATTAAGCCTCGTCAGATAAAAGCTTATTGTTAAAATGCTCGTAAAATTTAAATCCCTCGAAGTGAGATTGTTGGAATGCGAATATCACTTTGCTATGTGTGTTACTGTTTCATTTTTTAGGGTTCCGTACTCGAAGGGTGCCAGTGGAATCCTTTTAGTAAGTCTCCACTGTCCGCATGTCCATCTGTCCGTCCGTCCGGATATCCGTCCGTCAGACTGTCTGTCAGAGGGCTGTATCTCACGAACCGTAATAGGTAGAGAGTTGAAATTTTCAAACAGTATGTATTTGTATTGCCGCTATAACAATAAATAATAAAAATAAATAATAAAAATACAAGAAACATTTTTTTAAAGTTCGTAATCGCTCATCGAATTTAATATACTACATACACAGAGTAAAAGTCATATTAATAAAAAGTACACGTACGATGATACGGAACTCTTCGTGTGCGAATTCGACTCGCATTTGACTGATTTTTATTTAGTATCTCATCCCTGTAATAGGCGGAAACAAATATGACAAGTGTGGATATTTGGATTCATTTGGTTAATTTTTGGTTTCTTATATTTAAGAACGCTTACCTTTCCAATACTAAGTTTTTTTTGTTAAGAGTTTACTCGATATGTTTCTAGTGAAACGATTTATAGTATGGGATGGTATGGAACATGGTAGCCAGAAAAATGTATATTTCATATATGTACATATTTACTTTAATGTTGTAATTAAATTGCTCATTACGAACATTTTAATATATGATAAAGTCACATTATCAAGGGCATGGTAAGTAATTTTATATGACTAGCTTTACCAATGTCAAAAATATCACCCAACGAATTCATTAAAAAAATCAAACAGCGTAAATAAGCACCTCCTCCTCATTTAAACTCGATATCTACCCTTCATTGTAGCCCATATCAAGCTTATATGTTATACTAACAATGCCCGCGGCTCCGCCCGCGTTCAGATGACCAAAAACCAAATTCTTAGGTTTTACATATTAGTATACTCTTACATTGCAGTTTTTGTATTTTTTCTCAGAAATAAGATATTATCCCGCGGTAAAAAGTATCTTATATGTTGACCCGGATAACCAGTTATCACCATACCAAATTTCATCAAAATCTCTCCAGTGGTTTTTCTGTGATGCGGTAACAGATGAACGGACAGACAGACAGACAAATAGACAGACAGACAGACAAAAATTCTAAAAACTGTAGATTCGGCCTCTGTATCGATAATAAAGTCTATTTCAATAAGATTTTCCAAAAAAATATTTAATGTACAGATTCGGCTTAGTTACAGTTTTATTATATGTATAGATAAATATTGATAAAAAATATTTTTCTGTCTAATCTCCTAAAAGAGCTAAACAATTAACTGGTCCTAAACAGCGAAGAGCTGTTTAAATATTTCAAGATAAAGCTGTTTGGAATTCAGTCTTTACCATTTAACCATGCATTTAACCGCATGTGGCCAAACAATTCCAATAAGGCTTTACCCCAAACGTCCCCCAAAATATCCATGGCAATTTTATGCCACCGTAAAAGCTGTACGCTTACGTTATCTACCCATCTACCATATTGTACGTTTCAACGTGCTTGTTACGATTACTAAAGTACAGTAAGTGGGATACATACAGAACTCTAATTTATATAAAACGACGCGTTTTTTTTATGCTTTTATATTATTATACTAATGTTTCTATAAATACTCTGTGTAAAAATATTGTGTAAACATAAAATAAAGAAAGCTTGAGGATAATGGATATATATAAAAAAATGGTTACAATATTCTATCTATACAGTAACGAACAGGATAAATATTAGACTATATCTAAAGACCCGTTTATAAATATACATATATGACATATAACATAGCATTTTATAGAGCAAAAACTTCCCGTATGTTTGTTTTGAGGCTTTTCCAGCAATAAAATTTGCATAACTACGCTCTTTGGCACGGCTGCAGTCTCTTATTAAATTTCCGCCCCTCCGAAAGTCATTAATGGTTTGTACTTAACCACCTAGCGGCATACTATGATAAATCATAAGGTATCAAGTGCCAGCGTTTAGTGGTCTCGCTGACTTTTATAGCGTCTTGAGATGTAAGCTCGGGATTGAGGGAGATTTAGGTAATCCTTTGTTTATTCTTATTTTTTCTGGGTAGTGATTAATATGTATTAGGCATCATAATAAAAAAATGCCATATTTAAATTTATACATATGTTAAAAATATTCGTTTAAAATATAATATATTTTATATTGTATTTAGTATGGACACTGTATACAATAAAACTCTTTTAATTTTGAATATTGCTCTATTAGTTTTAAATGCTTTCTTATTTATGTAGGTACATTAAGAAGTAATGAATTTAATATAGAAAAAAGCTTCACAAACAATGTGGTACGCAGTTTTTAATAGAGAAATATTATATATATATATATATATATATATATATATATATGAAATTAAATAGTGTTGGTAATTCAGAAAAAATACGGTTATATTTAAGAATGAGTGTTCTTTTTATTGTTTTTGTAGCATTTACATATGAAAATTACGAATATATTTACTTAAACATTTCATACATATCGTGGTTACAATAAAATTCAAATAAATCCCTTTTCCACATATGTAGTTGTGCAAGAAATATTTCGCTGCTCAAATGAAACGAGTACAAATACTTTAGTTTGTCTCGAAATACGGAAATCTCAATATAGAGTAATACGAGCAGACGCTTAGATGTATGTATGTAATTAAGGTTCCACCCACCGCGCGTTTAAAATTGATAGTCCGTGTCAATGTGAAATGGAACGCAGATAACATACGACAAACATCATTTCATATCCAATTACAATACGCTCTCGAATTAACTATTCATTTACTACCCATTCGGTCGGATATATACATATTGAAATGTATTCTGCTGGAGTTATTATATTTTTGAGCGCTATCTCTTTGACTTCATCAGCCATAGTGAAGTGGTTACCGAGCACGAGTTTCAATCTACCGATAAATTTTAATAATGCGAAGTTACCTTGTTCTCGACAAACTGTGGTCTTCCCTGAAACTGTGAATAGTTCTATTACTATCGAGTCTGGAACGTCCGTGAGCGGATTCGTGTTCCCTTTAGACGGAGAGTTCCTTCTTGCGGATGGCGTAATAGAGCTTGGTCCAACTGATGACGTAAATTGTACAGAAAGCAACGTATATTATATGGACAAATCTGTTTCTTCTTGGGCTCGACCTGATGTTTGGGATTCGCCAAAATTTAACAAAGCTACACCCGATGCAGAGAGAGTACCATGTTACGATGATATCGTCGAATTCCCAGAAAATAAAGGATTTGCTGTCATATTACCAGATATGACGCAGAAAGTTCGTGGCATTTCAATAGGTGATGAAAGGTTCGATACGGATGAATTTAAAAATTATGTTCTTGGAAACCAAGATCAGACTCGGCGATTTTATCTGAATGAATACGATGATACAGGAATAGAAGTGTTATTTGATTTTTGTAAGTCGCCAGCTGGTTGTGCTTGTCAGAACAATGTATTGAATATCGAGTGCGAAGCTAAATTCTGTCCTATCCCATCTTGCGTAGAACCAATACAACCAGTTGGTCACTGTTGCAAGATTTGTGGTGGTCTTCTTATTTTAAATATTGATCAAAGTTTTGGTTTATTTGCCTTTAAAGAACGCGTTGAAGAAATTTTATCTAGCTATGGAGAAGATACGTTAGTTTATCACATTGGAAGAATTCCAGATGATAAACTCCAACTTGTGATTGTAGAGAAAGATGACTATACTGGTACTAGTGCAGAGGTTGTGAATGCAATTGCTAATGGCGTGGAATGGCACTTGGGTTCGAATATGCAAATTAGTGGAATTCCATTTTATAAATCGGGTATGGGCGGAAAGATATTTATTTCTATGTTCTTTGTGGTTATATTAGCTATGGCCTTTATATACGTTTATTACTATAAATTACCAGAGGTCAGATATCCAATTATAAGCCGGAGTAACTTCACAATGTTTTCAAGGTATGATCGTAGAAGTGAAAGTGTAGTGTCTTTGACGAGAAGAACTTCTGCTGCGCCAATTGGCAGCACACGAGCAGCTACAGCCTTCCGGAATCCATTGTATGACTCAAAAAGAAGCAAAGGGTCAGCTGACGAATCTATTGGTGAAGAATAATATATTGTTAAAAAAATCTCAATTTACTAAGTTTTTTTTTACCATAATTTTGTTGGTAAAAAAGTTTATATAAAGAAATTCAATTCAATGACGAATAACTGATCGGACTGACAAAAGTTTCTAAGTCAACAAATTAAGTCAAACCAACAAGAAAGTTTCGGTAAATGGCATAAAAGTTGGAAATTCTATATTATCTACAGAATATAAATAAAGCAAAATAAATTCAACACTCCTAAGTCCAATATTGAATATAACCCTTTGTGCTTTTGCCCTTCCGCTCTAAATGTGAACTCAATCAATAGTATTGGGTTTCTTAAAACAGCTCAAAAGACACGACTGTCATGAGAGTCGTTAATCATTTCGCTTTGAAACTTGTTCTACGAAAGAGAGTACGACATAAATATTAAACCATGTATTGGATATTTGTACATTATACGCTTATGCTCTAAAATTTTTCTTGTTTTTATAAGTAAAGTTCACACAAACAAATTTTCGATATATAATGATACACATAGTAATAAAAAAAATGAGGCATATATGTATTTTAATCTTAATTCATACGCTTTCATCTACTTTATATTTGTCCCACCTAGTTATGTATTCCAAGTTTTCTTAAGCACATATAAATAAATAAAAAAACTGAAACACCTAAAAAGTAATGAATATGATACTTCAACGAATTCAAATTTTATCGAATTATTTATTAAAGTGATATGCATATATGATTCACTGTATGAATAACAAAAATAGATATGAATGGTGTAGTATATGAATGATAACTCTAAAATTTCATAGATAAGTAAAAAAATAATATATTTATGCGCACTATAATCATTTGAACGGTTTTCCTATTTCAACACGAACAAAGCGCGTACTCACGATCAGGCATTGTCGCTTGCCCATTGTTTTTGTGAAGCCTGATTTATGTCTCGCCCCGCGTTACGCGTCAATGACACCAGTGTGACGCGTCTTAATGATGAAGATAGCTATCTGGTATTGATGTATAGTATACCCCAGGCAACTCAGTGGTTAGGTACTGGTGGTTAGCTAGATGTGGTGCGAGTTCGAAATGAATATAATATTTGTACCTGTTAAGTTTGGACTGCTTTTATATTTGCGAAAGTTTTTATGAGAGTGTTTGTTTATTACTCCTTCACGTTTAAATGGCTGGACGGATTTGATCAAATTTAGGAAACAGATAGACTATGATCTGGAGTAACATAGGTAGCTTAATACGCTGAACGAAACCAGGGTAAGTCGGTAGTTTGATAATAAATCATTATTATAAGTGATAACTCTTTTGACGTTCTGAATCCAAAAAACTTTTAAACATCTTGTTTCTAACCTAAACATATAATAAACTAGCATTGCCCGCGGCTCCGCCCGCGTTCAGATTAACAAAAACCAAATTCTTCGATTTTATATATTAGTATACTCTTACAATGCAGTTTTTGTATTTGTTCTCAGAAATGAGATTTTTCCCGCAGTAAAAATTAACCTATATGTTAACCCGGATAACCAGCTATCACCATACCAAATTTCATCAAAATCTGTCCAGTGGTTTTCTCGTGATGCTGTAACAGACAGACAGACAGACAAAATTTCACCGACAATTTTAATCCGGACACTATCGATAGTAATGTCTATTTCAATTAGATTTTCCAAAAAATATTTAATGTACAGATTCGGCTTAGTTACAATTTTATTATATGTATAGATAAATGTTTGAAATAATATTAACATCATTGCATGTATACGCTTAGGCGTCATTTTGGACGTGGGACAGCTATTTTGTATGATTTGCCTAATATCTTTTTGATTTCAATAGTGATTCATATCTCATACTTTCTCAGCTCAATTTAGGCTTATCTGATTATCCCTGGAATGAAAACAGTTTTTTTAATGTTAGTAATTTTCTGAAAGAATTGTACGTTAAACGTTTTAAAATCGTTTGAAGTTATAAAATTTTTTAATACCATAATGTACTTAACATCTAAGCGTTTTTTTTTATTTCGTTAATAAAAAAATTAAATTCCGTAAAGGCTAATAGAAGGTATACTAAAGTAAAGTAATTAAAAAGTATAATTATAAAACTATTTCAACTCTATCGCTGAGCCGTTGGTATTTAAGTCTGTATGTTTTATTTTTAAAGCATTGCTGATACTAGATAATTATTTATTACCAGATTTTCAGTATTAATTGTACAAAAAAGGATATGAAGAAAGGGGAATGAACTCAAATATGACGTATGATTGAGATGAATGGAGGAAATGTATGAACATACCTACTGTAATTTAAGTATAACCCTACATATGTATGTAGGTAGGATAAGGTCAAGAAGAGTTGTTCAGTGATAGTGTAGCATTTTCTTATTCAAATTACGTTTTTTCCCACACAGAATAAATATAACTTTAGTAAGATAATACTTGTATTGTATTCAGCCCTTTTTAACGTCCCACTGCTGGGCACGGGGCTCCCTTCAGTACCAGGGGAATCAGACCATAGCCCACCACGCTGGCCAAGTGCGGGTTGGCAGACTTCACATGTCTTTCGAAAATTTGTTAAGTTCTCTCAGACATGCAGGTTTCCTCACGATGTTTTCCTTCACCGTAAGGCAAGTGGTGGATGCTGGAAATGATTCGCACATGAAAATATCGGAGGTGCGATACCCGGGATTTGAACCCGCTTCACTCGGTTTCCCAAGCGATCGCGTTACCACTGGGCTACCACTGCCTTAATACTTAATCTTTTAATTAATTTACGAGTATGTGGTATGGTATTTACTGGTCTAAGTATCTTATAATATAAATCAGAGGAGTCAGGCGCAAAGGGATCTGTATAAGAGCACTATAAATTATACTGTAGAGAAGTTTCTGAGAAAAACAGTTTAAAGTTTGTAACTTTAGTTTGTGACTGCTTTTACCAATTTACGCGAAAGATGGCAATGTACGCAAACTAAACACTCCAATCTTTTGTTATTGTTGACGGTAGAAGGACAAGTCGATTCGATCTAATATAAAATGAATATATGCTGGATCCAGAATTTGAACCTAGGACCTGATAATCTGTTGCCATAAAAGCTAGCTACTTTACCAATGAGCTCTACCTGTCTACATATGAGTATAAAGAGAAATATAAGCTAAACAACTTCATTTTTACATATTAATAAATAAAAACCGTTTAACAAAAAAAAAAGTTTAATAAAATTCATTTGTGTGATCACCACGAATATTTGTACTCCAGTCATGGGTGTTTATATTTATAATATGTATGTGTTTAAAGTTATATATGTTTATATCAACTATCTGGTATCCATAACACAAGCACCGTAACTTACCATGGAACTAGATGGTGCTGTGTGTTAAGTACATCTGAAACGCCTCGACTTGGACTTTACGATGCAATAAACTTATAACTTCTATGAAATTTTCATACTTTTTGTATACTCGAAGCAATGAGTGTAAATAAGATGACCTATAAGTCTTTCGACTCGACGTCTGTTACATTGATGTTTATGTGGTTATTTGCGATATATTGTTCACTGGCATTTATTTGTTAAACTCATACTTTTTAAATTCTAACCACATATATGTAGGTACTTGCTATCTAGTGTATTGCTAATTTATTTATTTTATTGAACTATCATAAATAGTTAGTGCTCAAATTATTACTTTTGTATTGTTTTAGTAAATGTGTAAAATTGATTTCAGTAAAAGTCCACTATTAATGCAATTTATCTTGTAACTAGCGATTCACCCTCGCTCCGTTCGGGTTCGTCCCTACTTACATTTTGGTGTTTAGTGTTGATTTCTCAAAGATGAGATATTTTCCCGCAGTATAAAATATCCTATATATTGACGCGGCTAACCAGCTATCATCATGCCAAATTTCATCAAAATCACTGCAGTGGTTTTTTAGTGATGCGGTCACAGACAGACAGAAATATATATATATATATATATATATATATATATATATATATATATAAGAAACTATAGATTCGGCCTCTGTACTTATCGATAATAATATTAATAATTATTTCAATAAGATTTTATCAAAAAATATTTAATGTACAGATTCGGCTTAGTTACAATTTTATTATATATGTATATGGATTAAGTATATATTTTTATTCATATCTGAACTACATTTAAGAAAAATGGGATGTTAGAGATGAACACACACGTAAGTGATCTTCGATCATAATTCACTTATTTAAGAAGTCCCTAAGTTACAACAATAAAACTAGCAAATATTTCAAAATTACGTCTTGTACAAATGTGGATTGGCAAAGTTTCAAACAACTGGTCCCTAGATACCCTAAGCAAACTTCTTTACTACATCAAATCTGAATTCTAACAAAAGTCTCGGCTAACCAAATCGAATCAGTGCTCCGACATCAATCTATTTAGCGTCTTCTACGGTTTTTGTTCATGGACTGAGGATTTCGCAGAAATTGCATGTGTTTTGATAAAATTTAGCTTCTAAAACTATAATATGAATAAAATATAATTAAAACTGTATGTATTTATCGTAATGGAATTAGTTGAATATTATAACTTTGCATATTATTCGAAAAAATTGTGTTTAAGAGATTTTTAGATCATTTTAAAAGCCATACATGCGGTAAAAGTTTTTGTCATCTATACATATAATAAAATTCTAAGTCAAATCTGTACATTAAATATTTTTTGGGAAATCTAATTGAAATAGACATTATTATCGATACAGAGTCTGAATCTATAGTTTTTGGAATTTTTGTCTGTCTGTCTGTCTTTCCGTCTGTCTGTTACCTCATCACGAGAAAACCACTGGACAGATTTTGATGAAATTTTGTATGATGATAGCTGGTTATCCGGGTCAACATATAGGCTACTTTTTACCGCGGGAAAATATGTCATTTCTGAGAAAAAATACAAAAACACAAAAACTGCATTGTAAGAGTACACTAATATGTAAAACCTAAGAATTAGGTTTTTGGTCATCTGAACGAGGGC